GGGACTTTGGGTAGGTTTGTTTTTGTTAGTTTACTGTTCATTGGTTATGAATTACTAAACAAACAGTGAACCAGCTAACCTTTTCTCTGCCTAGAGACAACAATAACAAAAAAAAGAAAATCTGATTGGATAACTCTATTTTGATGGTTGGAGTGGAGTAAAAAGTGGAATATTTGTCACTGAACTATTGTGGAGAATAAATCAATTGATATAATAATATATATAATAATAAAGTAGAAGAGAATGGAAGAAAATCATGAGAACCTTAAAAACTGCACTTGACTGAATGTTGTTTGTTATTTTCGAGCACAGGAAAATTAATTACAGTAGAACCAGATATAGTGTTTTCTGATGAGTCAGAGAAAAGAGGCTGATGTAAGTTTGTTTGTATGATCTTACAAAAGAATGTGACCTATTGACACTTGTGTTACTGTGTAATAGTGTGTGTTTTGTGTGCGTGTGTATGTGTGCGTCGGCTCTTTGTCCGCTGTTCCACTCACAAACAGTTTTTTGCTCCATTGTAAATGAAGCACAGTCGTGTCTTTGTGCAGAGTGAATGGACAGTGGCTCGGATACAGAGCCGAGCTGAGAAGAGACAGCGAATGTCTGCTGCTGAAAGGACAGCAGCTCACTGTGCCTCTCTTCTTCTGCTGTTAGTTCTTCACCACTGAATCTCACCCATGATGCATCTGAAGGCCGTCCATTCAGTAAACACATCACAAATCACTGCGCTGCTGTTCTCTGAGCTTGTCAGGATGTCAAGACTGGAACGAGCTCCAAATCATATCTTAATGAGAGGTGCAGTCACAGGCTCATTCAGCGGTGAGTCTCGCCTCTTTTAACCAATCAGAGAAGGCCAAAGTAACAGACGAGTGTCAATCATTACGTGACCTCGCCTCTGGTCGATCAATCCTCTCACACAAGCTGCAGGAAGACGTCGCTGTGGCGGACTCACAGGATAACAAGCTCCTGATTCCTGCACACGACGAGGATGTAGATGAAGGCTGAGAGAGTCAAATCAAACTTTATTAATTTACCTCGATATAACAAATCACATATTAGCCTCAAAGGACAAAAGAATTTGTACAGCAATCAGCTCGCTCTGACCCTCAAAGTGGACGATGAAAACCTGCCCCAGAGGACAATGTAAAATATAACATTGGGTGTTGTTTGAACAGACGACCAAACCCAGCAACTAAACTTTGTTGCTTGATTGTTATTGATGCAGGGAAATGTAACAACACTTTATTTCACAAGTGAGAAGTGTGCAGAGAAAAACACAACTGAAATCTCTCCTGTGAAACAAACTGTTCTAACTTTGGCCTTTTAATGTTCATGTTACTGCGGGTCCCCGTCGTTCACAGCAAGAAGGTTTAGTTGCATTAGTTCTATTATCCTGAAACTTTCCTTCTAATTACAGTGAAAAGATGAAGAAAAACATCCAGAGAAAGTCGTCAGGACTCAGTTACAGCACAGAAATCTGCTGTCTCCAAAAAAATAAATAAATAAAATAAAGTAAAAAAAATGCAGCTTCTTTGTCTCTGCACCTCCAGCATCTCCTTTCATTCTCTTTCTCTAAATCATTAGTCTATATTTAGCTGAAGAAATAAATACCCGTCAGTGTTTTCACTGAGTCTAATCAGCCCCCGGGGGCAGAAACATAATCAAACACGGCGGAGGTCTCCAGGGCCGGCAGTCAGAATAGAAGCCGATGAGAGTTTGAGCAGACGAGGGTACAACAACATTCCTCAGATGACTCCAACGCTAAGACAACATTTCTGCTTTTTCACACGACAAAGTGAAAATTAAATGTTTGCAGCTGCTGGTCCCATGTGGCCCCACATTGTTGTTTAATTCTCCTTAAAAAATGTACGACTACAGGTCACAGAGAGAATCATTTATTACCCAAACAGGAATAAACAGGTGGATAGATGAACAGCAACTCAGATTAGAAGGATTTCAACGGTTTTATTTGATTTTATTTTTGATTTTATTTAATTTTTTAAAACATATTCAAACAGTCACTGGTTGTATTTTCCTGTTTGTCTTCTTTTGCACAAACAATAAGTCATTTCCTGCAGTTTATCATTCACTATCTCAGATCAGAACGTCCCAACATTCAAGTCAGAACCTATAGAGCGCCTGAAATGTGTCAGAGGAGATTTGTAAGACAGATACAGTATTATTACATAAAAGTGTTTGACAATTTAAATGATGAATAAAGTTTAAGATATTGAATAACATGATGGATTTATCAAATATTTATCAACCATTTTGACCCTCTGTGTGTTTGCTGAAAAGCTAAACTTGACATGACAAGAGAAAAACTCATGACAGTTTGGGGACTTACGAGGTCAAAGGTGGGAAAAACCCAATGCTATCTTTAACAGGAAATAGACTCAAGGTCTGCAGCCTCGCTATCGGCCACATGAGGCTGTAATGCTCATTACAGATCTGCTGGAACGAGTCTCCAGTTTGTCCAGGCTCAGCTCGACAGCATGTTAGCATATAGCATGTCAGCACGCTAAAGTACAGAAGTACAACTGAGGCCGTCAGCCATTAGTCTAATTTTAGAAGCAGTCAGTCATGAACTGAAGAGCAAGAGAAGTGAAAACTTTGACCCGATCACAATGGTTATTATTGTGTGTTCAGACTAAATGCAAAGCTAAATTTGACTGCTAGATTTTACAGAAACATCCAATGAACCAGCTGCTCAGACGATGCAGAAAGCTAGCTAACAACAACATATCTGTGACTCCAGATGTCCTGCAGCCATGGACAGATATGTGACATCAGGTCTTTGGATACAGACATGTTTGCAGTGGTTTTGCATCTGCTTGTGGTTCTTTTGTGTCACTTGGTGGTACTTCGATTGACTTTCTGACAAGAAATAATAATAATACGTTTGTGATATTTAAAACCGCAAATATAATGTCCATATTCACCGTTATGCCGATGACACACAGCTGTATCTACCAATCAGAGACCAGTGCCCAGTCCAACACAGCAACCCTCCCCAACTGCTTTACTGAAATAAAAACTGGATGTCAGACAACTTCTTAGAAGAATCTGAGGTCACCGTAATGTCCAAAAAAATAAAACAATTTGTCTTATTCATATTTGGCATTGGTGTAAAATCAGATATCTGTTTTTTGCCTCTTATTTTGAAATCTGTCTTCATTTACACACCGAGACTCAAACTCATAAAAATGTCCTTTATTGATGCTGTAAAGTGAGTGTTTGTGGTAAAAATTAACTACTTCCTGCTCTCCAGGTTTCAAGTGGTTCGGGAGCCTCACCAACCTCTCCACCCGCCGCTCCCCAGAGAAGGCCAACATCAAGGAAGCCCCGGAGCATGATGGGAGCCTCATTGGAGCCAAACCAGAAGCGGTGGGGAACCAGTCGGTGGATGACATGGAGTCCTGCCTCCACAGCCCCAGCTACGCCCGCTCCACTGACATGTACACACATGTGGGCACTGTGCCCCGCAGCGAGAGGCAGAAGAAGAGCTGCAAGGGGCTGAAGGAGAAGAAGAAGAACAAGAAGAAAGAGGGGGAGGAGGAGGAGGAGAAGGATGGGGGGGTGAGTGGAGGGCAGAGCCAGCAGAAGGCGGGGGAACATGTCCGAGACTCCCCCCTGCTCAGTGCCCTGTCCAGCCTCAGTTTGCCCAGTCTAGACCTGCCCCTGCCTCTTTCTGCAGCGACCCGGCTGCTCCCCACCACTCCAACACCCACCCGGGCTTCACCTTTGACCTCTGCACCTGAAAGCTGCGTCACTGTTTCTTCAGGAGACCCCATTAAGAGCCAAGGGGCCCTGTCGAGGAGCGAGGATGCTTTAGAAACTGGTAGACCCGCAGAAAACCCCTTAAACATGGCGACTAAGGGTCTCAAAGTGGTTTCACCACAGGATGTATACGTGCCGATGGACCCGATCACTGAATCATCTCCCAACCAAGTGGACGAGCAGAAAGAGACACAGGAAACCGCAAACGTTGTGAACGTCTCACAGGAAGTGGCGAATGTTTGCAGGTGAGTAAGCTGATTAACAACACTGTGAGAAGGTGTAGTGATGGTTCCTAAAATAACCTGTTGTGGTTTTCAACTGGTTATGTGAACTGTAGGTCAGAGTAATATACAATGCATTAATATTGAGTGTCACGCTTTATTTGTTAATACTCTGTCACTGTGGTGAGATTGTGTTTTGACGGCCACAAAACATAATAAAGTAGATTTCTGCAGTACAATAAAAACAAAACAAAACAAAACTTGCCAACTTGGTACCACATTAAAGTTATGCACTGCTTAATTTTTTTTAAAGTGAAAAAAAGACTTTAAAAAGTATTTTTAATATTAAAGATATTGAATTATATTTAAAAAAATCTTAGACCATATTTCTATGGCTAGTTTTACAGCTAATGTCACCAATTAAGATAAAACAATAGGCTACACAATAAAAAACAATTAGGTACAATTACGTTTTTTAAATAAATAATAAACCTAGCACTAATGCACACTGTAACTTATCATTAATAGATTCGCTTAAAGAAAATGATTAAAATTTTACAGATTTTTTTAAGATTTTACATAAAAAATACAATTAAAGTCACATTATTATATTTTATCATTTTTATAATTATTATTATTATTATCATTATTAATTATATCTTATATTTAATTATTCATGTTTTACTGTGTAATACCACTGCTGTTTGTAATTAGCATAATTATCAAAAAAATGTAATTGTGTGAATGAATTGCTGTTTTACGAAAAACTTAAACGTAAACGTAAAAAAAAAACAAAAAAGAACGTAAAAAAGCCTAATTTTTTGATTATAAAGTTGTTATATTAGAAGAAAAACTCGTGATAGTATAAGAATGTTATAATTAAGGGTTCGGGTTTATTAAATAAATCGTGATTAGAATACATTATCGGGAAACAGCAGTTGTAGTGGCGGACATGCGCAGTGTGTCCCCGTCTGCTCGCTGCTGCTGCGGTTCAGCTCAGTCAGCCGGTGGACACTCAGCGGCGGTGTGTGACGGACTGTGCGGGACATGATGTGTGAAGTTGGGGACGGGAAGTGTCGGTCGGTCCGCTCCGGAGCAGGAGGAGGAGGAGGCGGAGAGGGAGACAGGAGGTGAGGAAACATGGAGTCAGTGTGTGTTCGTGTTAAACTCCGAGACAACATGTCAGCGTCATGAGTCACCTGTGTCACTGGCTGCAGGACCGCGAAATTTCAGGGGGACAGTGTCAGTGTTTGAACTTCGCTCGGAGGTGCCAGTGTCAGACACATGGTTCATGTTCGTCTGATGCTGCAAAACATGAAAAGCTCCTGACCAGTAAAACATTTACAACAACTTTGAAGTCAGTGGGTTACCAGGCTGGTCAGTAGTGTGTGTGTGTGTGTGTGTGTGTGTGTGTGTGTGTGTGTGTGTGTGTGTGGGATCTGGACCGGACTGTATGTTACATAAGAGGAGGAATTTGATCCTGCTCTGGCTTCAGTCAGAATAGTGATAAGGTTTTTTTTTTTTTTTTGGCAGAGATGCAGCTGCCTGTTTCACTTCATCCTGCTTGACCTGAAGCGCACCTGACCGTGACCTTTGACCTATTACCGTCAGGTGTGAGGAAGCTGTTTGATGTGGGATCTTTTTTCAATCGTTTTGTGACCTTATTGTATCAGATTGTTGGAAGTTGATTAAAAAGGCTGGTTTACGATCGACCGCTGTTGATTCCCCGGGGCAGGAATTAACAGGAAAGTCATTATTTTAAGGAAAAATGCCACAAAAATGTCACAGGATCCAGCTTCTCCGAAATCTGCTGGTTTGATCATAAGATAAAATAAGATAAAGATTAAAAAAACAAACAAACAAACACTTGAATATGTTAATTTCAGGGAATAATGTCAGACCTAAACCTAACCCTATAAACTAAAACAGTTCAGGTCTGAAAACCAAATTTAAACACGTGGTCTCGCTGCAAGTCCAGGTCCAACAAGATGGTTCTTCTTTATTTCTAACAAATCAGCGATTAATCAAAGCATGAAGACCCAGATGATGACGGAGGTTTCTTTTCTCAGGCAGAAATGCAGTCTTTGTTGTGAGGAGTCAGAGCGAAGGGGATCGAGAGGAGAATAAAAACCACTGATCTCAGTTCAGTCAGAGCAGAAACTGAGGTCGACTTTCACCTTCGTTTTAAACATGTTAAACTACTTTTTCCACTTTGTGTTTGTCTCTGTTGTAAACGGCTTCTACTATTTGTGGCGCCCCATGTCACATTTGTTATGGGTTATCATGGGAACTAGTGTGTGTGTGTGTGTGTGTGTGTGTGTGTGTGTGTATGTGTGTGTGTGTGTGTCAGGAGCAGGAAATGCTGTAAAATTTGATGCTGGTTTGGTGAACGCAGCCCCGAGGTGCAGGGAGTTTCCCCTCGCAGAGTTTCTGTGGACCGTGTTAATGAGCAGTGGACGAACCTGCCTCAGCTGTGGTTCAGTGTGAGAGTCTCTGTGAAATCCACCGTTATACATCCTGAAACTGAGAACAAAAATCAACAGTAAACAACAACACGGAAAGTTCCTGGAATCTCCCAGGTGTTTCTCTTGTTTTGACTCGGCTTCTCTCAGTCAGGCTCCGTGTCGATTGATTGACATCCCACTCAGGAAAGAAAACTTCCATCCTTATCATCCCGGCTGATGTGCTGACCTCGGTGACCTCACATCATTTCCAGCCAGAGTAACTCCCCACACCTGTGTGTTCATGGCGGGGGGTCGACCGATTATCAGTCTGGTCGATTATCGGTGGTAATATTCAGCATTTTCCAATCATCGGTATCGTTTTATTAACCGATAAAATAAAATATCTGAGTAAACCTGTTACTGCGTTACAGTTTAAAAGGGGGAGGGGTAAAACATCTGATTTGGTGATAATAATTAATAATAATAATAATGATTAATTACTAATATACACTCAATGATCAGTTTATTAGGGACATGTAGATCAAACTGATGTAGTCTGATACAACAGTCCTGCGGTCTCTCTCTGAGCCTGTCCCAGAATGCACTGGGGGCACAGCCTCCGACATCATGATAAGATGTTTTCTGTGGCCTGGTGTGTTGTGCTGTGAGGTCACGACCTGCTGACACCTGCTGAGTGCTGGAAAACCAAAATGTAACGTAATAAAAAAAATAAAATGGCAGTTGCTCTTAAACAGTGGCTTACACAGGAAGTTGCATCTACCTGTTTTGGAGCGCTGGCGAAGAGTTGATTTCTGGGTAAATAAGCTGTGCCTCATTTCAGGGGTCGCATCTTTCGTGGTTTCGTGGCCAAACCGAAACGAGACACCTGGTCTGCGGAGGATTTCAGCGTTGCGTCCCCGGCTGTGACCGCCCTCTCTGTCGCCTAGCAACCTTGACAGCACATAACTTTTTATCATGAAAACTTGAGGTTTTTAAGGCTTGTGGTTTTAAACTGAGCTGAAAGCTAATACTTACATTTATCAGTGTAATCCTCAGGCTGTCTGTCAGTGTTGTTTGCCGCCATGTTACTTCCATTACCGGCACACAACGAATCTTGGGATAGGTTGGGCCACGACGGATCCACCCGTTCGAACTTTCGAAGACCGCGTTTCTCAACTGCGCTTGAAGGAGCCTTCGTATTCGATCCTCAAATGCAACCTCTGAAGGACGCAGCTATAGTGTGACGTTAGCCGTTAGTATAATGTCAGCAATTTGGCAAAATGTTCCTCTGGAAAGACCCACCAGCAAAAAGATTACTGTACAGTATGAAAGGATTTAATTCAGTGTTATGACAACTAGTGTTATCTGTACCTGGATTCATTTTTTTATGGCTGACAGTCAAATTAGTAATAAAAGAGAGATTAGATTTTATGACATTTATGTATCTGTGCATGTTTTATAATGAAGATCAGATGATAAAATGCTTCACGATCGTGAACAAGTTCTTTCATAAATATCTCATCGTTTTCATGATCTGTTTTCCTTTTGCTGTTGAAATTAATTATTTTCGTCGTCTCAGGAAAACAAAAGTTGTTATTATGTCAGGATACAGTCAAATACACGCACTCACAGAGAGTGACCCAGCGTCTACCTCCATCACAGAATCATTCAAACATTCATTAAAACAACAGTTTTTGTGGTGTCGCTCGATGAGCTCCAGAGCAGTCGACATCTGTGAACGTGGCTCTTGACTGACGGGAGCTTCTCATGTGGTATGTTTTACTTGTGTGTTCACATCTGTCTGTGTGTGTGTGTGTGTGTGTGTGTGTGTGTGTGTATGTGTGCTGTCTGCTCTCAGAGTTTGTGTTTGGGAACAAAAGGTCACCTCCCTTGACGTTACTCATGGAAATATGCAGCATGTTGAGGAAGAGCAGAGTGACCGGGGGAAAAAAAAAAGGTTTCACACTCCCATCGTGTAGTTTCACTGACACGACACATCCGTGCTGTCAGGGAGAAACCATGAAACTGCGCCTCGGCTGTTTTTCCCTTTTTCTAACGTCAGTTGAAAAGTCTCAGCGGTCGTCCGTGTGCCGCTGGGCCTCCCCGAGCCTTCAGACTTGGTGAGACGCCAGCTGCTGTGATTTCTGTATGGACATCGGGGTCCGACGGAGAGGAAGTTTCCTCTGATTCAGTGCTGAAAAACAGGCTATTAGCAGATATGAGGTTTCACACAGCAGCAGAAATATTCCTCATCCTCCCTGGAGAAGTTTGTTGTGTTGCAAGCTGTTGCTGGGTGGTGTCACATTAACACACTGCTGCTGTCAGAGAGTTGTGCAAGAGGACGGACAGACAGACAGGAGACACTGTACAACTGCTATACAACTACTACTGCTACTGCTATACAAGTACTACTGCTACTGCTACTACAACTACTACTGCTACTGCTACTACAACTACTACTGCTACTGCTACTACAACTACTACTGCTACTGCTACTACAACTACTACTGCTACTGCTACTACAACTACTACTGCTACTGCTACTACAACTACTACTGCTACTGCTACTACAACTACTACTGCTACTGCTACTACAACTACTACTGCTACTGCTACTACAACTACTACTGCTACTGCTACTACAACTACTCCTGCTGCTATACAACTACTACTGCTACTACAACTACTACTACTGCTACTACAACTACTACAACTACTACAACTACTACTACTGCTATACAACTACTACTGCTACTACAACTACTACTGCTACTGCTACTACAACTACTACTATACAACTACTACTGCTACTACAACTACTACTACTGCTATACAACTACTACTACTACTGCTACTCCTACTGCTACTGCAGTGTCCAGGGCTGGGTATTCATGTTAACAACACTCAAGCACTTCCACTATAAATAATTTCAGGCGTGGCCCCCTGCTGCTTTAAACGTGTGGGTGAACTGACCTCAGGTTGAATAATGAGTTCAAAGTTCAAAGTCGTTCTATGAGTTTTAAAAATGTTAAAGCAGCAGCTGAGTTTCGTTAACTGAACTTGAGAGAACGAGTTCAATAAACTGAAGATATTGAGTCAGGCTGACAGATGTTACATACAGATGTTGCTTTACGGTAACTGAGGAGTTCAAAGACTTGAGAGTGTAATGAGGCAGTGATTGACCTCGATACTAACCTATATTGTGATTAGCATTGTTTTTAATCATAACTTAATGTAAAGCTCCTCCAGTGTAAAGGTCTCTCACCATGTGTAGTGTGATTATAGATCAGGTCTAGCTTCTATATTAATACTGTGAAAGTATCAAAGCCTCAGTCCACAGAGAAATGCACACAGCCTGTATTCAGAAACTGAGCCTTAAAACCAGCCGTCAGGACTTCTGGAACTTTGTGATGTCACAACAAAGCAGTCACCAAGCCCCGCCCACCTGGACCCACCATCCAAACCTTGCAGGATTTGGTTTCTCTGAGTGTTTCTACCTGAAATCTGCTTTATTTTTATTGGATCACTCAGAAAACAGTCAGCCAATCAGAAGAGAGGCTCAGAGCCTCCTCTCTTCTGATTGGCTCACAGACCTGTTGTTACTAGAGCTTCAGAGAGAAGCCTGAGAGAGGAGATGTAAAACTACACTGAGATGGTTTTTATATCTTCTGATGGAGCAACACTTAAAATAAAACACAGAAGAAGAAGAAAATATGGAGCTTTAACATAAATTAGTATCGTTCAAATTAAAATCTGAGGGGTCACTGGAGGGTGGGAGGTCTGCTAATGTGACACACAGTAATAAACACATTCAACTCATCAGTCAAAAGATTTCAGATCAAAAACACTTGTTTATAAGTGTCTGAAGTGTCTGAAGATAGAAACTAAAACTTTTAAGTTGCATTAACGTGAAATTAAAACTTTTGTATTTACCCGAAGTTAATAAGAAAGATCATTGATTGATCACACACATCCTCATTTCAATCATAAATTTTGACAATTTTAAACAGGATTTTATTCAGACGACATTTTTGTTGTATTTTCAGAACATTTAAGGTCAGTATAGGAGAAAAAAAATCAAACATTTCCACCCACCAACCTCAATAAAAATCAGTGTTGGGTTGTTTTGCTCATGTTATCATGGAGATGCCACTGTCAGTCAGATCTGGCCAAACTACACCCACACAGTACTGATGAAGCAGACTGAGCGACTAATGTGTCTGAGGTGTAGTGTAGAGCTTCCTGTTTTATTGACCCTAAACCTTCTTAATGATTTACAATGAAGCTCCCTGGAGAGAACGATCAACTTCTAATTATTGGTAAAAAACACACAGTGCACACATTCAATGAATGAATTTTAATTAACTTCTGTCTTTTAGTAATTACAAAGTGTGAAATTTGTCCACAGGCAAACACACAGCTCAACATATATGGAGTGTAATGATACCAATAATTAGTTTCTGTATGTTCTGACTGACACAACCAAAGTTACACAACATAAAACATGTCAAAAATCCGAATGAAAGAGGAAAAGGTTTTTATTGCGAAAAAAAAAATTCATACAAGGAACACCTTACACAACAACTTGAAAACAACCCAAGAGCTGTCTGAACCCATTAAAATACAAATCTGAAACAATAACCTGATGAAATCCTGAAACATGACGAAACATCTGCAGCCAGAACAAAGAGCACAGCTTCTCCAACAGACTGGATTCACAGCAACAGAACAAGTTCTACGGTTTTAGTTGTAATTGCAGATGGAAATGTTACAAGAACGAGTCGTGGGAACCAATAACAGAGCAGTTCACACGTTTCTTTAGCCATGCATGCTAGCGGCTCTAGGGGATGGTAGGGTTCAGTTCACTCTGGTCCACGTTCTTAACATCTATCAGATGGATTTCTATCATTTGGTCAAATGCCCTCTACTGCCACCAGGAGGTCAAATCTTTCACTTATTCAATGAGATATATCAACAGAAATACTAAAGAAAATACCAATCATCGTGTTAGCATGCTGACGTTAGCATTTAGCTCACCCAACATAAAGTGTTCGCTCCATAGAAGACTCGCCAGGGACACGTTTCAGACACTACCTGCATCATGGTTATGCATTGGATAAACGTAATTATTATCTCTGTCACATAAACAAACACCAGAGCTGCTGCATCACACATGAGGCCAAATACATACAATACACGCTAGCTAACAAGACGTGTAGTTTTTATTCATCTTTCACGTGTTTATGTTTGTTTTAATTTGTGTCCACACCTTCCTGTTTTGTCAGTTTGTGTTGTACACAAAATGCATTAGCATTAAGAGGATACATGCATTTAGCTGTGTAACGCTTTAATGTGAAACTTCTCACGCTTGTGTTTCTTGTGTGTTTCAGCCGCCATGACTTGACAGACAGCAGCGGAGAGTATGTGAAGGTAAGCTCGTTCTTAACACGGCCTCAAACCTATTTTCACCCAACGCTCTCGCTTCACTTTGTCCAACAACACGCTCTCTGTTCCCGGCGGCGGCCCCGGTTTCAGAGAGGGTTCACTGGGAGCTTGTTTCTGTGCGCCGCTCTGATCCTCTACACACGGCACTCAGGTTCTAATTCAATCAGACCGGCCGACAGAGAGGACTCTGGGAATGTGGCCCTCTGCCGTGGAAATACTTTGAAGCCGCCATGGTTACCAATGGCGACCGCAGCGGCCTCGATTCGGCCCGGCAGCTCTGCCTGGAAAAGGTGGAGGGAGGCGAGAGAATTTCCAGTTCATTGACTTATAATTGGATACTTGACAAACACACTTGTCTGAATGGGACAAGCTGGCAATGAATGATAATGCTAATGAAATTAAAGCCATTCATTAGGGCCCCCCCCCCCCCCCCCCCCCAACACACACACACACACACACACACACACACACACTTGATATCATAGGTCACTTTTGGGGACATTACATTGACTTACATTCATTTCCTGGAGACCCTGACACTAATCACTGACCTTAAATGCATCTATTTTCCAATTGGGGACAAAGCTTTTATCCTCAACTGGACAAGCTGTCCCCAATTTGTCCCCAAAAACAGCCTATGACAGACCTACACACACACACACACACACACACACACACACACACACACACCCTCCTGTTTCGTTTTGGAAGTGGACCTGGCCCGCTGCCAAGCCCTCGATTAACAGTTGAGTGGGACAAACCATTCTGTCAAAGCAGGAGGGCACCTACATAACAGTAAGTGAGGTGTGTGTGTGTGTGTGTGTGTGTGTGTGTGTTCCCAGCCTGTCCTCGGTGTAAACTCTTGATATACAGTAGCTTTTTTTTTTTGTTGTTTTTGTTGTTTATATAAAGACGCGACAGACAAAGCTCTGCTGAGTGATGACCCCCGTCGCACAATGGCGTTGCCGCGGCGACGAGGCCAAGACTCCAGCATGGGTCTGGGTCTCGGGCCCCTGGTGCCGCCAAGTGTGGATGCCAGTGTGGGAATGCCAGAACTGTCCGTCCTCCGTCTCCCTCCCTCCCTCCTCATCCCCCCTCTGCCATCTATTAACACACACACACACACACACACACACTCACACACACACACACACACACAGAGCTGCAGTTTGACTAGATTTACCCACAATGCTTGTTCCCTGAGAGGAAACACAAGAGTCTGGTTTGTTGATCCAGATGAGAGGAAGGTGGAGAGAGATGAACCCAGAGCCAGCCATGATGCTCTGAACTTGTTTTGTTGTTGTTGTTGTTTTTGTGTGTGTGTGTGTGTGTGTGTGTTTGTTGGATTTGTGTGTCTGATTGTGCGCCTGTGATGTCCTTTAAGTTCTCCAAAGAGAAGTTCTGGTTGGAGCCGCCGTCGGAGCAGCAGAGGAAGCAGCTGGAGGAGGAGCTGAAGCTGAGCGGCACCAACCTGAAGAGCCACGCCTGGTACCACGGACAAATCCCCTGGGAGGTCCGCCTCACACACACACACACACACACACACACACACAGAGTTGAGTTTAAGTTTTTACAGCTGAATTATATTGTTGCTATTCAGGTCGTTTACGACTTAAATGATTTAAATGTTGCTTTTAGTGACAGCAGGTTTTTTAACGACTGGATCCAAAATAAAAGCAGCTGTTAGAAACTAGTTTTATTCAGGACAAACCGCTTTTAATTCAGATTGAGTTTTACATTAAAATAACATGTCTGAATTTTTTGTTTTTGTTTTTTAAATCTCAGAAATCAGGGTAATACAGGAGTTCAACCACAAGAGGGAGCTGTGTTCAACTATCAGCTTTAAAGGCAAAATATTGTTCATTAAATCCAGATTTATTATGTAATTGTGCTTTAATCACTGACATGAACATAAACACACACGCAGTCCTGGTTCTTCTGGACCTGGACTGATCTCACAGTCTCTGAGCTCAGGCTGGAGGCTGACACTAATATTGGCTGTCTGCTTTATTTTGAAAAATGCATCAGCTCCTTTGTGACAGGAAAGAGGCAGAATACTGAATCTGAAGAGGAAAGTTTATCGTTTGAATTTCTTCCATGTGACTTTAGTAGCAGTAACGAGAAGAACCTAGATGATCGGCAGCCTCATGAATTTCCCCTGTCTGTCTGTCTGTCTGTCTGTCTGTCTGTCTAGATGTAAAACCTTGTGAGAATGTTCTGCTTTAATAATAGTTTCTGTGTTTGTGTTGTTTTATTAAATGGTAACGGTTTCCATGAACACGTCTCCTCAGGTGTCAGAGAGCCTGGTGTTGAACCACGGCGACTTCCTCATCAGAGACTCTCAGTCCAGTCCGGGCGACTTCGTCCTCACGGCCCACTGGGAGCAGGAGACGCTCCACTTCCTCATCAGGAAGACGGCGGTCCAGTCCGGCGAGACGTACACCCGGGTCCAGTACAGCCTGGAGGGCGAGGCCTTCGACTCCATCCCGGCCCTCGTTCACTTCTACGTGGGCGGCCGGGCGGCTCTGAGCCGGTGGAGCGGAGCTCAGATTCACCGGCCGGTGAACAGGACGCTGCCGCTCACCTACCTGGAGACGGCCTTCTGCACCGCCGTCGGCGCGCCGCCCTGCCCCCGAGGCCTGAGGAGCGGAGAGGAGAGGGTCTGTCCGAGGAGGTGGGACCTTACTTCACTTCCATTATCAGAGGAGAACAAACTTAGCGTAGCACGGAGTCACAGGAGATTTCTAACGACTAATGTATTGATTGATATTTGTTTGATGTTTTATTTTTTATTAGTAAAGTCACTGCAAACAGAGGAAACATGTTCAGGAGGTTTCAGGCAGCATGATCATTATGTTCATTATCTATCAGTCTGTCAAGTGTTTGTTGATTAATTGATTGACTGTTTAGTCTGTGAAATGGTTAAAGAAAATGACACTGACGTCTTCAAGTTCCTTATTTTTTCTGACAAACTCTCTGCCGTCTCTCTCACTCTCTTTTATCTCCACGCAGTCCTTCCTCTCTCCACCACCGGGAGGCAGACGTGAGCAGAGGACAGGACGAGCAGACGCTGCTGACTGCTGGAGAAGCATCGCTCTCGACCCCATACAGCAACAACAGTGAGTTCAACACAGAACTAAAGTCTTTCTCCCGTGTGTCCATTAGACAGATGTGCTCTCACACCGCACACACTCTACCTCATCGAGTCTTTATCACACTTCAAAGTGGTTTATTATAGTTATACAGCTGCTCTGTGTCATTTAAAATCCCAGTGACGGAGACTGTTACTGATGGATTCACTGTCAATTTTACATTTGATTAATATATATTCATTCATATATATGTTCATATACATATATATATATATATAGGCCTATATAATTTAATAATATACCATAAAGCCTCAGTATATGTTGATATATACACTAATCATATAGAATTTTATATGTATGTTGTTTTAATTAACTTTCATATATAAATTAAATACATATATCATTAACATATAAAAATTAATCATAGATATTTTTAATATCTGTAGATATAGATGTTCATATATCCAGAGGATGTATGTATGTAATAATAATTTATCCCTTTATAGGTGACAGATATGGCAACATCCCTTTTAATATAGGGACATATATATATATATATATATATATAGAGAGAGAGAGAGAGAGAAGTCTCTAGACTCCTCTACCAGCCATTGTCTGTAAAGTAATGATATTTAAATCTATATATAAGTAATTGTTCTGAATTATACTTTCGAAACAACTAAGATAATTATATCATAGCACATAATATCTCAACATACTAACACGTCAGTCTACTGTGATGTAAAACAGTGAATGTGAGAAATAAACAGCAGCTGTCGACCTTAAATAAAACTTGTCCTTCGAGTGCTGATCTGATTACAATAAAACTCATGGAAATTAATTCAGCTGTTTAACGAGTGTAAGAAGACACCGATAAGCTTCCGTCCTTCTGCGGCTCTTTTTCAAGGAACTGAATAATAGAGTAATTTAATATGTCGCCATTTATTTATTTATTTTTTAAACCGAGATGATTCCCATTATTAAACATTTACACAAACTGTTTTTGATGTGCAGTAAACATGTAGAGTTAGACTCAGCACCTTAATGAAATATTAGTTTTAATCACCTATCAAAAATAAGAAAAAGCTAAGATAAGAAAAAGCTAAAATAAGAAAAAGCTGAAATAAGATTACAAATTATAAGAGAGGCTGTATACAAAGATATCTCAGTAATGCCGCCAGGGAACTTCTTCTAATTTGGCACAAACATTCGCTTAGACTCAAGGATGAGCTGATTATTTTTTGGTGGTCAGAGGTCAGACGTCAAGGTCGCGGTGACCTCCCAAAACACATTTGTAGCCATAATGCAAGAATTCATAAACTAATTATGACACATTTTAACTCAAATGTCAATGAGGATAAAAATGAAGTGATGACATTTTATATCCAAAGGGTCAAAGGTTAACTTCACTGTGACATCATAATGTTCTGCTGTAGCACAGGAAAGGAAGGTTTTGACCATATTTCCTCGAGGAAACGACCACGAGGCGGTGATTCTGATTTACTATTTATTTGAAGATTAGTGGCACATAATAATAATAATAATAATGATAATAATAATAATGATAAATTCCTCAGATCTTTGAAATTTATACAAAAGTACATATAAAATAATCACAGTTTGTAAAGAAATGAGTTCCACTGTTATGAAGAAAAAACTTTTTATTATTATTAAGACGATCAACAATATTCAATTACTGCCCAACCTTAGTAATAGACAATCACAGGATACATGTGCCAGTTATTTTATTCCATTTATCTTCAAGTGCATTTAGTTTATGAGACTAAGAAAAATATTAAAAATCCTTCAAAATAAAAACATAATCCCTAAAAACTGATTACTTGGCTCAGATCAGATTTTTGAGATAACAAACAGAAACACGACGGCTCACGAGACCTTATGAGGTTTGTGTTTACGTTCAGCTACACGCTACACACTTCAGCTACACTACGCACGTTAGGACACCAGTGAAAGACTGACACAAAATACAGAATACAACAGTTTACTCGTGTGATGTTACACAAACAATCTCGCGGCACCTTCGTCATTCTTTCTTGACTTTGCTTCTAGAAAACACTCTGCGCCACAAAAACTTTGTTGCGGAGATAAAAACAATAAATACTAGCAAACTAACAGCCAGCAGGAATGCCACCACGTCGATCGAGTAGTACTGGATACTGGACATCCTATAAGACTCTGTCCTGAGGTGCGGAGCGCCCTTGTGCCTCATGACGAACTCGATCCAGAAAATGGCGCGATCCAATGGTTTCATGGGCTGGTCTCTGTGGAGGTTGGACAGCGTCGTCATCTTCTCCCTGTAGCTCGGCTCATAGAGCACCTCCTCCAGCGCCTCCAGGAAGTTGTCTTTGTTCAGGGTTGCGATGTCCAGGACTTTGGCCACGCCTCTTGCTTTCATCCTGAAGAAGTTGTCATGCTGGTCGAACATGAGGGGCAGGCCGACCAGGGGGACGCCGTGGTAGATGGCCTCCTGCATTCCATTGGTGCCTCCGTGGGCCACAAACACTCGGGTCTTGGGGTGACCCAGGAGGTCGTTTTGAGGCAGCCAGTCCAGGAGTAAAGTGTTGTTGCCGAGGGTGGACGGCCTTTTGCCTTGGTACCTCCAGATCACCTTCTGAGGAAGTTGGGCGAAACCAGCTGCGATGTCCTCGGCGACGTCCTCCGGAAGTTTTGCCACCAGGGTTCCCAGCGTCATAACAACGACGCCATGTTCCCCAGAGCTCTGCACGAAATCCTCCAGTTCTTTGGACAGGGTCTTGGAGGGTTTGCACTGAAATCCTGACATGTAGACGACGTTTGGCATCGTCGGTCGCGGGAACTCAAAGGTAAAATCGTTCCTCATCAGCCAGATGTCTGCCGCCTGGAACAGCTCCATGTAATGTACGTCGCTGCCGAAGTAACGATGGACGAAAGGTTTGTAGTTCGAGTCTGTGACGTACCAAATTTGAAAACATGTAAAGAAGTAGTAAAGGAAGTTCTTGAGCCGCTGGGTAAATGTCATCTTGTCAGTCAGCTCTATCCCTGGTAAGGGGACATAGGAGAGGGGGGATGGTGCAATCGCTTGATGCCCCTCACCCTGAATAGTCCACCTCACATTAAAGACAAGTGGAAGAGCCAGACGGTGAGCCAGAAGAACCCCTCCACCGATCGCTGGATCTGTCAGAACCAAATCATACTTGGCATCGTGGAGGCTCTGCATCAATTCGGGATTGTCAAATATGTCCCCCACCATCTCAAGCACCTTCTTATGCATTTGATAGAACTGGGTGATCAGTTCGTACTCCAGAGACATCCGCGTCCAGAGTGACGCGCCTTCCCGTCGCAAGTTCAGCATCGTGGTGACAAATGACCCGAAGCGTTTCTCATCGAAACCAGCTGAGGAGTTTATGGTGATGGACTTGTAGTGAGGCGACTCTGGCTTGATGTACCAGGTGTCTGACGGCCGCAGCACTGTGATCTCGTGGCCTCTGGAGTGGAGCTCCTCGATGATGACTTTCATGTTGACCCAGTGGCTCCCATCTACAGGGAACACCAAGACCTTCCCTCCATTCACCGGGGGCGCAGAGCAGAGCAGCACTGCGAGCGCTACCAAGGCAGTTCGGTACATCTCTGAAAGAGAGAGTCCGACAAGAGAAAGTTAGATCTGTCCTTAATAGAAGGTTCATTCAAGTGCAGTCAAAACAAACCTGATGCACACTACAACAAGTCTTTCTACAAAGGGTTTTCATTATTCTGTCAGCAAACTGAGGGCACACTGCTCCAATACTTGCATAACTCCCCAGATTTCCCCTCAGCTCGGTTACAGTTTCCTGATTGCATAACTACACATTGTGGGAATTCCTGCCACTAAGTCCCCAGAGGTTTAGAAAAGCTGTTTGCATTAAGTAGATGTTCCCCTGTCTCAGGTTTCACAGCTTTGTGTTCATGGCACACGGTAATGATAGTGGTGTCGGACTGTGAAGGGGATTTAACAGCAGCTGCCTTTGAAGTTTGAAGGAGCTTTTTTACAAAATCCTGCTGAAGAAGAATTAGAACCAGAGTCGTCAGTAAAATGTTCAGCTTTATCTTCACAAAGATAATGAGAGATAATCAGCTACAAATGCTTCAAAAATGATTTGAAACTCTTAAATAAAACATTTTGGCACATTTGAAATAAAAAGCATATTTTTGCCTAAATGATTTCTATGCAAGTAAAAGTTTTTTAAACTACAGTTTACGTTCAAATGGTAATGCTTTTTTAAAACAAATTATAATATCTATAATAATCTAAATTAAATGCATTAAATATCCAAGATTACCTGTGTATTTTCTCTCTGAATAAAGAGATAAAAGTGGGACATTCCTACATTTCTACATCAGAAACGTTTCCTCAGTGTTCTTGCTTTAAGGTCTTGGTTTTGAATCTCATTAGGTGTCCCGAGTCTGCGCATCCAAACTTCTACACTTGGGATTTTCTTCTCACAGTTTATAAACTGAGCTTTAGGTTTGTAGCGAGGTTGTTCCGTGCGTTCATAAAGTGCAGAACTGTTGTTGAGCTCGTCGCCATCTGCCTCTGACGGACCTTGATACTCTAACCCCCATCTGCAAGTACTCAGGGTTTAGCCGAACACCCCATTCATGCACGTAAACATCACAGTGATACTCCAGACCAAGAAACATCAGCTTCAGATTAACATACCTGTTAACAGGCGCGGAGCTTGAGGAGCTTCTAGACACTCTTGATGGTTTGATGATGAACATTCACTGGGAGCGTCACCTGGCGTCTCAGGGCATTTCACATTTCAACATGAGCTTGTTGTTCCGCAGCCTCCCACCCTGCCAGCAGATTGACAGGTAATAAGACCAAAGTTCAGAGTGTGTGTGTGAGTGTGTGTGTGTGTGGTATGCAGCAGCAGCAGCAGCAGCAGTTCAGTTACACAAGGGCAACTCGGGGAGACTCAGAGACTCACGTGTTGAACGCTGAACCTGAACTTTAGATGTAGTACTGAGATAAGATCAAGCAGCAGCTGCAGGTAAATGTGGAGCAAAGGCAAATTATTGAGAGAGGAGATATTTCTTTTCTTTGATTTACTCATGTTTTAATCACATTTCACTTTAAGTGAATGATTTTTAGGTGAAGTAGCTGCTGTGATATCACACTGTTTTACACAGAAAGGTTTAAAGGTTGTTGAAGGTCTCTGATTTCAGCGTACGGATGCTCATTGTTTTTATTTTTATTACGTTAATCTAAGCTCCAGCACATCCAATGTGCTTTTATTTTGGTGAGCAGTGGTCTTTATATACACAGGATTAAAACAATAAAAAAAAAAAAAACACGGAAGCAGCAATAAAAAATATGCAATTTTACAGATAAAAAAGAAAATTGTGACAAATACTAAAAGAAATTAAAGAACTAAAAAAGTTTTATTTGATTTAAAAAATAGATTACAGCAAAAAAAAAGTAAAAAACATATATATACATATATGTATATATGTATATATATACATGTCTACCACACAGTGTGTAGACATTGTCATTCTGGTTCTTGTGTAGCAGTGTCATCTGTTATAAGTGGTGCCCACAGTGAGGAAAGGCATGTGGAGCATGTGGAAGAAAGTTAATTTTCTGCAGCGCTGCTCCGAGCAAACCCAGGTAACACTGACACAGGCACATTCATTCAGGAAGTATAAAGTGTGCCAAGGGTTACATACCTGCTGTTTGCTTCACCTGCAGCTAATCCTGAGACTAGTGAGCAGAAAGAGTCACTGCATCTCACTCCTCCGTTAACTGTCACAAAACATCTGGAGGATAGTTCAGTTTGTCTGCTTCACTGTGAAGTAACAGAGATCCAGAGGTGAGACCAGAATCAGGGCTTGGTTTCATATACAAAACCTTGGATCATTACTAAAAAAATGTGTTGATCTATATGAAGTACTCTGACTTTGAATCAGAGCTCTTAGTCAGTGAAGGAATTTTCTTTAATTTTCTAAAATGTGATAGGCCATACACTGTTCATCACAGTGGCTCCAGTGATTCCTACTTGGGCCCTGAGAGCTCAACACACTGCNGCCAGCCACATACACAGATGACCCCTCTGGCTGCCATGGATACAGCGTGTGATGACATCACAGCAGATGCCTGCAGAGGCTGGATAAGACACTCTAAAAGATTCTTTCCACGCTGCATCGCAAGAGAAGATATTCGTTGTGATGTGGATGAGAATTCGTGGCCCAACAGACAGGAACGTCAGGAGGTGTAGGAAGACTGCACTGTAATTCCTACAGCACTGCATGTACAGTTTTCCCTAAGGAGATTGTCTTATGTTCACATTTCTACTTTTGTTTTTTTGTTTTTTTCTTTGTGCTATGCAGTGCTGTCTTTTTCTTTTCTGTATCGCAATGACATGTCAACAAATTACAGTACAAACAGTAAAAGCGTAAATGTGAATCTTGTCCAGTCTCTTGCAATCAATCTCCCACATACACTAAGGTGTAACTTACAATTTACAATAATTGTCATCAAAACTTTAGCCATAGTTTACATCAGAACATCCCTCCAGAGTACACTGTTATATTGACAACACGACTAAGCAATTCGACTCTTATCCGTGCACAATAACACAAGGACTTGTCAGTCTGATGGCACTGACATGTTCATTGACACAGATATTTACTTTTGAGAGATGAACTAAGGATTTTGAGCAAGAGACTGGCTGTTGCAGGTAATCCATGGTGTTTTCTATCTGTACGAATTGTTTTGAGAAATTCACTTACTGTTTTGCAAATGTCGAGGATGATTCGAGAAATGTACCAAAGCGACTGAGAAAAACTGTAAGACGACCCTCATAATGGATTTGTGACTAATTTATAACTCGTTTATTGATTACGCCTCATGTCTCATTAGTTACTGAGCTTTCTTTGTTTTCTCAGCCAGCGTTGTAGAGTGGTATCAGTTTAAGATTAAAATCCTAAACAAATGTATTTTTCTTTTCTTTGTCTCATTGTTTTGTCTTAGAAAGTGTCTCAGTCGTGTTGAGGCTGTTGTTGATTCAGTGACACAACTTTAACCCAAGTTACCACATTACCGATGTCTGAAGTTTCCTAATGCAGCTTTAAAAACAATCAAACTCATGTTGCCCTAAATACTCGCTAAAGCACCAAATGTACATTAATCCGCCACTGAAAATAGTCCCCTACAAATGCAATATTTCCTCCTGTTTGTTTGCTAAAGACAATGAGACTGTGGAAGAAATATTCCCGTCCATTTTTAACAGAATTTCTTGAAAAGTTGTTACTAGAGTTCATAAATATCCTTCTCTCCCGTCTCTTCCTCCGTCTCCAGCCCCACAGTCCAGAAGCCCTTGCAGTAGCAGGGCAGTCAGCGTGGCTCCATCGCCGTCCCTCCCAAGGTGCTCGGATACCGCCCAACCCCCGACCTCCCCGAACAGCACCCTTCACAGAGAGCGTGACGACAGACCCCAGCCTCATCCGAACCAGGACTCCCCCTTCTCCGACACAGATGGGAGCTGCTACACGGAGCTGTACCCCGGCCCTCAGAGCTACGTGGAGAGGCTGCGGGTGGAGGAGGGGTCGGCGGGCCTCGACCCGCTGAGGGTGGAGGACGGGAACGCGAACTTCTCGCCGGTGGTGGAGACGGTTTCTTCTTTCAAACCGAGCGGGTACCAGTCGCCGCTGATGCCCAAGGAGAATAAACCTCTGGAGGTCGGCGTTCTGCGGAGGGTGAAGGAGCTGCTGGCCGAGATCGACCCCAGGACGGCGGCCAAACACATCACCAAGGCTGACTGCAAGGTGCTGTCAGAGGCTGCTCTAATCAATATCTTTTTTTATTAGCAAACTATTGATACTGCAAAGGATTTGATTCCTTGGTTTCCCTCTTCAGTTTCTTTCACTTTAACACCTCAGAAGGAGAGTCGATATTTGATTTACAGTCATGTGTCCGTGTTTCCCAGATGGCCAGAATTCTGGAGGTGACGCCGGAGATGCAAAGGATGATGGGAGTCAGCTCTGGGATGGAGCTGCTCACGCTGCCACACGGCCAACAGCTGAGACTGGACCTGCTGGAGAGGTGAGGAACACTTCCTGAATGATGAGCAGACGACCTCATCAGTCTGATCTGGGTGTGATGCGAGCTGAAGTTATAAGTTGAAGGTCCGTGTCCCCCGCAGGTTCCAGACCATGGCGATCATGCTGGCCGTGGACGTGTTGGGCTGCACGGGGACGAACGAGGAGCGAGCCGGTCTGCTTCATAAAATCATCCAGATCGCTGCCGAGCTCAAGAGCACCATGGGCAACATGTTCGGCTTCGCTGCCGTCATGAGAGCCTTAGAGCTGCCGCAGGTGACCATCACACAACATCATCACACAGATGCTACACTGATGTCTCTTTCTGGACGTTTCTTGTCTCTTTCTGGACCTTTCTTGTCTCTTTACTTTCTGTCTCTCTGTGTGTCAGGTGTCCCGTCTGGAGCAGACGTGGATGGCGTTACGGCAGCGGCACACAGAGGGCGCTATTCTCTACGAGAAGAGTCTGAGGCCGTTCATGAAGAGCCTGAACGACGGGAGAGGTAGAAGTCCTTCAACACGTCACACCACGAGACAAACACTGCAGACGTGGTCGTACAGTGACTCCTGTCGGTCATTTTGTAAAGCACACCTGTCTTTTCACAGAGACGCTGACTGTCTGTGTGTCTGTCCTCCAGAAAGCTGTCCGCTGTCCAACACCACCTTCCCCCACGTCCTCCCCCTCCTGTCTCTGCTGGAGAAGAGTGTGGCGGTGGGTGAGGGGACGGAGCCCTGGGAGACGGTGGAAGTCGGTGTGGACGTGGTCATGTTCCACCTGGGAGCGGCGAGGACCATCGCACAGCTGGGCGGCATCTACCGGTCCAATGCCGAGAGCAAACTGCAGGGTAAGAAACAAACTCAGCGCTCTAGTGTTTTGTTGATCAATATTAATCTGATTGCCCTGATAAGACGCTGTGGTGGTGACGTTGCAGGTTTCCAGGAGCAGGCCGAGGTCCTGGAGCTCTTCCTGACCGACTTCCAGATGAGGCTGCTGTGGGGGAGCAGGGGAGCCACGGAGAACCAGGCCCTGCGATATGCCAAGTTTGACCAGGTGCTTACCGCCTTGTCCAACAAGCTGGAGCCGCCTGTCAGGTCGCGCTGAGCCCAGACCTGTTTATATTGACTGTTTACGCTGGATGAGTGCCCGGTCGTGTTCTCGTTCCTACATGGGACAGTCTGTTGGACACTGAGCGGCTCCCACTAGCAGCTTGGAGGATGCCTTGCTCAAGAGCGGCTGGAGGGAAGGCTCCGAACAGGGAGGCTAAAGCAGACTCAAGACAGTACGTCACCTTTGTCAGTCAAGATTTGCCCAAATGTAAGAGACAGATACTTGAAACATTTCACCTGCTTCTCTGGAGCTTGTTGGGATTCAGACTCCTGAACAGAAGCACTTCAGCAGGATGAAGTCGGCTTACGGTTAAATTCTCGTAGGAGGATTGTTTCAGCACCTTTGAAACTGAGCCTCAACTGATCTGACTCAAGGAAGAGCGAAGCTTAAATTTTACAACTCCCTGTCAAAGTCCGAGCTGTCGAACAAGTGGAATCAGGAGTTTCTGGAGGAGTTGTCCTCATCACTCTCTCACTTACCACTAAATACATTCTGAACTTTAATGTTTCATCCACTTGTGCCAGCATCCTTTATTTAATATGTTTAGGTGTGTTGCCGGAGGACTTTATCTATAATGTGAACATGAGATATCAGCGGTACTGGGCCGGGGGTCGTTGTGGTTCGATGTTTCTGTTCTGCAGAAAAAAAACAAAACCTTTTCTGTCACAAAACGCCTGAGGCCTGCTCTCATGAAATCGTTACTGAGATGAGGTGGAGCCTCATGTTTTTATGTCTGCCTGAAGGCTGGACCTTCCCTAAATCTACAAGTGCACCAACTGTATGTCATATTGCACAACCCAATAACAGAATAACATTATATCTACAACTTAGATTTCTATAATGACATGTTTTGTATTATGTTTATTGTAATGTGTTAATCATTAGGATTTTCTAAATGGAAGAGAATATTTAATGCAATCTGGGATGAGGAGACTGGTTACTTGTTTCCATTATCACACACTCTGTATCTCTTATTATGAAATGAAAGGAAGTGAGTGAAGTGACCCAGACCACACAAGCACAGCACAGGTACACAACATTTCTATTACCGTTCGTAGTATTAATGCCTAATATTTATCTGAAATGTGAAATGTAAATAAAGGTGTGTACCTCACTGTGGTTTATTTATTGGATTCTGTCATACACATCTGTCACTTACAGGTCTGATGCTCATTTCTCTGCCTCCACTAAAGCGAACGTGTATTTGAAATGAGATCTGACTCACGCTGCATGGTGTGAAACACAAACACATTTCTCACACTTACCTGAAGAAATTTGGCGTAAATTTGGCGCTCTCTGACGTGTTTTGGTGTAACATGGTGTGATCACAAATGAATCTGTGCCAGAGCAGGAAGTTAAACACAACAACCTTTCCAAACTCGGGTTACTCCAAAGACTAAAGACTTCCTCTCTCTTAATGAATCCTAAAGTGTTTCTCTTGATGTCCCAAGAAGTAAATAAGTTTTAAAAAATATATCTACATATACAGGTGTGGCAAAATTCTTGGTATCCTTCCACTTAAATGAGGAAAAACCACAATTTTATCTGAAATAAGTTGAAAGTGACGAAAGTAATCAGCGTCCACTATTCTCTTTGAAATAGAGCAGACACTTTGCTTTTGATGTTAGATGTAACCTATTCTTTTAAATATTACAGCACATGAAAATGGCATCAACAAAGATATTGGGAATCACTGCGATCAAGTGCTTCTTGTAGTTCTTAATGAGACGAATATTCACATTTGAAAAGAAAAAAAAAATCTGCTCTGTAATTCTGAGATGATTATCTTGTTAATTTTTTGGGGAAATTTTTCTTAAAAAATAAATGAATAAAATTCCTGCTGTTTTTCAGAATTACTGACATTACTTTGTTGAAATTTTAGAGAAAAGTTTTCTTAAAAAAAATAAAAAATAAAAAAAGATTCCTGCTGCTGCTCTGTTTTTCTGAATTAACAACATGATTATCTCAGAGGTTTTCTTTAAAAGAATTTTGTTTTTTAGAATTTTTTTCTCAAGTGAATTCATTACGCTCCAGTAAAACACAATTAATCAGTTATCGAGATATTAACGATTTATTTAGCCGTTGAAAAATCAATGAATCAACTAATTTTTTGAAGCTGTAGTGTTGTTCCAGCTTCTAACAGCTGTCTTATCTGGACTGTGATCCTCCAACGTGTCCTATACGTCACGTCTCACGCCAGACGCCATGCTTTCTAGGAAATGTAGTCCTAACCGTCACCTCGTTACGTGTTTCTGGGCTCCCTTATGGAAGTAGAAAAACTACAAACCGGCCGGTCTTCGTTAGGAGAAGGTCCAGTCGGTTCTCCTGTCTGCCAGTCGGCAGCCAAAATGTTGGCCGTCCTGTGTGTGCTGCTTTTATCCCTTTATAACCCGGTCTGCGGCGTTTTCCAGAAACTTTACTGCACCATATCGGAGAGCTGTGAGTGTGACTTCAAGCCGAATATCAGAGGTAAGAAGATAAATGTCTGTCGTGGCTAGCTAACATTAACTGACTTCTTGTTAGCCAGCTCGCCGGGCAGGAAAGATACAAGTATATTTTGCCCAGTAAACGTAAACTTATTTCATATGTTTTGTTCTTGTGCAGAAAAGGTTATCTAACTGACATTTTTAGTGAACAGTGTTCATGAAGAGTTAGTTAAGACTGTTACTGTTACTGTTAGTCACTGTTTTGCTAGCAGGCCGTTATGCTAGCTAGCAAAACACAGGAACCTGTCGCTGTTTTGCAAGTTACAAGCTCTAAACTGTGGAGGATATTTCCTCATACACAGTTTTTTTTGTCAGTGAAATTAAAAAGCCACGAATCTGCTTTTGCAAAAGTCCAGACAGACAGACTGGAGCCAAAAAAACTAAAACCACACGATTTTATCTTAGGATCGTGAACGCATCGCAGGCTTGTTTTGATGCTGTCTAATACCAACCTCCTGGACAGGTCTTGCTGGGATTTAGTGCTTCTGACATATGTTATACTATAACAGTAAAGTTAAATATGATTAACAGGCTGAATGACCAGACAATCAGTCACTTCTATCTCTAAATAATCCTTCTGTTGTCTTCTCTGTTGTTCACTTAAGTTTCATTTTCCATTTCCATTAATTAGGGAATACTTGAAACTTATATTTAATCTAATTTTTTTCAGAATTTTATGTAATATTCCCTGCATGAAATAAAAATAGGTTAATGGATCACACACACTTTTATGGGCAAGATTTTATCATGTTCAGTTCAAGGTATTTTTCATCTGAGTAGCAGGCCTGTTGCTATCCTCCACATAGAAAAAAGAGCAAATTGAATAGAAATAATTTGACATAAAATGAAGGCAGTTTTGTCTGAATAAGTTAGGCCAAAATATATATATATTAAAAACACTGATTAATTTATCTTAATTACACCCTTAGAAAGTACTGGCTCACCTGTGCTTCACCTGTGTCATTGGATGTCCTGTATCATGACTGACCTCTGGTGGAGCGTGTTGAGCACCACAGTCGTGTTAAATTCCCTTGCATACCTTCACGCTGTGATACCATGGAAGCCTGATGCATAACATAAATGTTTTTTTGTAAGGGTCCCTTGAATTCAGTTACTAAAGGTACTTCAACCATCTTGTATCGCACTGAGACAGACAGACAAAAACAGTGCTCAAAATCCAAAAGCCTAAGATCTGAACTCAGATCAGCATCAGCTCAAACTCAAGTTAAGTTTGAAATATTTGGTGAATTACCACTCTCTTTGGATTTTCAGGTTTAGTCTGAAATCACCAAATTCTTCTAACTTGAGTTCAGTAGTTTGTGGCCTGGGAATCATTTTAGGAACAGCTTTGTTTTGACTGAGGGAATCTGGGGGTAGTGGTTTGTTTTCCTGTGCATAAGGGATTTTGTTTGTCTGCCTTCTTACTTCTTACTAAAATGGGCACAAGCTGTGATACATTATGTTTTTGGTGGTGGTCTTTATTTCCCCATGACCAGACCTGGAGTGGGACCTCTACAAGAATCTCTATGGACAACATCTGGCCCAGGACATCGTGTCAGAGGAGGTGGCAAGGTTCCTTCAGAATAAAAGCCCTGATCGCCCCCTGGTGCTGTCCTTCCATGGCTCCTCGGGGACAGGAAAGACGCTGGTCAGCTCCATGCTGGGAAATCACCTGTACGGCTCAGCCATGAGCAGCCCATACGTCCACCAGTTTGTTCCCACGCTGCACTTCCCCTTACCTCAACGGGTCGATGAGTACAGGGTAAGTCCGGGGTCACTGTGGCACAGTGCCGTTAGGTTTTTATTTAATCACCTCTTGCAGAAGTGAGGAGTAGTTACAGGTTTGTGACAAACAGCTCCATCTGAAATCAGAGATGAAGAGCAGGCAGAATGAGTTGGGAGATGCTTAAAAGTATGATTCATTCAGATTTATTAAATGTTGAACTTGCAGAAACCACATTGGGCAGGATAGAGAAAATAACCTTGTCTCGACTTAAGTTCCCTCGTGTGGTTTGCAGGAGGAGCTGAAGAGCTGGGTGCAGGGGAACCTGACGGAGTGCGCTCGCTCCGTCTTCATCTTTGACGAGATGGAGAAGATGCCTTCAGGCCTCATCGATGTCCTGGAACCTTTCCTGGGTCCTTCCCACGTTGTGTTTCGCACCAACTACCGCAAGGCCATCTACATCTTCATCAGGTACACACAGACACAGATATACGCACAAACACTGGGGGGCGTGTCAGCGGGACAGAAACTGTTGTGTAGCTGCAGTTGGAGCCAAAACTTACAGTACCATCCATCTTCATCTCTGGAAGACAGAGGAGAGTGTAAATAACAACATGACATGACTGTTACTCCAGAAACTTCAGAATTGCTTTATTTTCTCACATATACTCAATTAATATTCTTTAGAGCCAAACATCAACAGCATTGTTCTGAACAGATCACTATTTTTAGACTGATGTTGTAATGATGGAAGTGTGTCTCCTGCAGCACCACAGGAGAGGAGGTGATTAACAGACTGGCTCTGGAGAACCGGCAGGCTGGACGCGACAGAGAGGAGATCAAGTTGGCCGACCTGCAGGAAGCCGTTGCACAGACGGCTTACAACAACGACACAAGTGAGTCGCTCGGTGTGCACAAAGCTCGCTCTTCTTCCTCCTAAATTTGCAAAAGCTATTTGAAGAAATTTGTGTATTTATGACGAATTCATTAGAGGTAAAAACTAATATGGGCCATGACTTTATGAGAATTATCTAAGTGATTTCTGTATCAGGATTGTCCTTTTTAGAGCTCTGTTATTTACATGTGTTTTATATTATATTTATTTAATATTTTAATCTGAAGTATGAAACATTTGCTGCTTTTCTTCGTCTTGTGTAATTATGAACTGAATGGCTTTAAATTCTGGAGCGAACAAAATAAACAGCTTGAAGTAGAATAGGTGTGAAAGGGTTCAGATTAATAATACTAAATGTAATGAGTTTATATTTAATTAAAAACAAAGATCGAACAGAACATTCACATCCATATTCAGTGCTGAGTATACCATGATGTTTGGAGCTGACTCCTCCTCAGTCTCCTGCAGCCGTGCTCAATAACGAGCTAAACGTTGGCCACAGATGAAACAGCGACTTGTCTTTGTTCAGTTGATCAAACACGTTAATTAGTCCGTGTACTGCTGCAGACGGGCTCGCTCACTGATACGTTATTGTTAGATGAAGGACTGAAGTGAGTGTCTCTCTCTCTCTCTCTCCAGGCGGCTTCTTCCAGTCCAGCGTCATCCAGCAGAAGCTCGTCACCCGCTTCGTTCCCTTCCTGCCGCTGAGCCGGCGCCACGTCGAGCGCTGCGTCCTCTCGCAGCTCTGCCAGCAGGGCAGCTGCGGCCGCACCGACGTGGTGGACGCAGTAGGGGGCGACATGATCTACACTCCCGTCCAGGGACAGTACTTCTCCACCACCGGCTGCAAGGCGGTCCCTGCCAAAATCAACTTCTTCCTGTGAGCTGAGGAGCTGGTTTTTCAAAGGACTGAAAGGGAAACTCTTACTTGAGGTGAGTCGGTGAAAAGTTTCAGAGTCGTGGAGGAGATTCAGAGTTAAGGATGCCTCCTGCGCCCGGAATCAAAGGGAATCGAACTCATAAGCCTCTGGATTCGAAGCAGTTCTGCGCTGCCAGTGCTGAGTTTACCTGAGGAAGCTTTAATCAGTCAGTCCACGTCCGTCTGTGAGCTCAGGAGAGTCTCTTCCCTGACTCTGGTCAGTGTCCCGCCACGCTCTACCTCAAACACAACTCCACCTTTCATTCATGAACTTGAAGTTGGTACAGCGTGGTGTCAGAGTCCAGCTGCAGGTCATTACTTGATTTTTTTTTTTTTTGCTTAAACTTCATTATTTATCCAGTCTTAATTTATCTTCTCAACATCACCCTCCTTTCACATTCACTCAGCCACTGCAGGAAACCTCTGGAAGGGTCTAGCACGAGGTTCGGTGCCTTGCTCATGTGTTAGCTGACAGCTAACGGTGGTAGAAAGGAGCTCGGTCTCTTTTCTCACTGATGCAGATTTTCTGCTTCGTCTTGATAAATGTCGCAGTTTCACAGAGTCTCACTAAAGAGGTCAGAGATTCTGTTTTTAATGTCTGAATGTTTTAACATTCAGGAAACATCTCTTTGCCAAGAGATCCTCGGACTTCACAGGAGTTAAAATTGCAGTTGTGAGAACAGTTTTGCTCATGTCAGGTAAAAACCTTGTATCTGTAGTAGAGAGTAGCTGCGTTCACAGATTCAAATCGTGAACACGGGTCCATCTGAACGTGTTTCATCTGCAGCCCGTCGTGCCCCACAAGAAACGAGATGATCTATCTCTGAGTGCTGGCATTTGGTTTGTCCGTTCAAAAACCTTGTATCTCCAAAATGTCAACTTCATCTAAAGAGCGTTGGAAAGTGAACTCACTCACCCAAAACACAACACTACAGTAAGAAATGGAAGAGTTTCACATTCACACTCAGATTAAGAAATTCAACCACCAACATAAGTCCTTTTAAATAAGAACTCAAATAGTGAAATATCAGATCCTGCAGTAAATACGTCTGACTTCACTCAGTGGCTTTTAGTTTTAAATCGAGGGCTGCACAATGAATCGAAATATAATCAAAATCCCAATGTGGCCAAGTGCAATAAACAAATCACATGAGCCGCAGTTTATTTTGTAAAAGGTAAAATGAGTCACAACATTGCTGTGCGTCGTTAGCACCACAAGCGTTGTGTTGCTATGGAGACGCCCGGACCTACACATCATATTCTCCAGACGGAAACACGTTCGTCCACAAAAATCACATCATCATTTTTAAATGTTATTTCAGTGAAAATGAAACGCAACTGAAATCACAGTATCTGCCAAAATAATCGCAGTATGATTTTTTTTTTGTTGTTTTTGCATATGGTGCAGCCTTATTTTAATCTTCATAATAACATAACATTCACCCAGTTTGTATTGAGAACATCCACTGTCTGTCTGCAAGTGTTTTCTCTGCTGCTCTCCGACCTGCTTGTACATTGTGGGAGCACATGACCACTTCTGCCATGAGGTGGCAGTAAAGACTTCATTTTACCAAGTGTGGAAGAGGTGAAGCAGAGTTCACCTGCAGCTCACCGCTTTTTTTATTTTATTTAGTTGCTTTACCGTAAAATGTTTTGTAACAGGCAACAGCCACGTGTGTTTAAACACAAAGTGCACTTTATGTTTATGGAGGATGAAATGGACCTGAGGGATTGTTGAGATAAACAGTGTGTGATGAGGAGTCAGGATGCAGCTGCCAAAAGACATGCTTTTATTATCAAGTTATGACAAATTAATTATTGTTATTATTTATTGACGGCTGTATGAAGAAACACAGCAGAGTCGGTGTGTGAGGATGAATCAGGCATCTTCCTGTGTCTTTTGACCATTTTGCTGTTTCAGCCACTAAAGTGTTGGAGAATCTTTCATATGCTTCCTCTGAGGCAAATTTAACTCCTGGTACTACAGTGAAAAGTACAAATAAATTTGTAATAAATAAAACAAACTGCTGTTCTGTGCCTTTTTTTTGAGAAATGTCTGTTACCAACTGTAAGATATTTGTCTTCACACTGTAAGAAGAGACTGTTAGTGAGAGACGTTTGCTTCACAGAGGTCCTCTCCTTAACAAACAGACCAGGGGATTAAAACCAGTAGAAACTCAGAATAAAGCAGTTTCATGTTAAAAGTCAGTGATTTACTGACGCAGCAGATGCAGGACGTCTCCAGCGGCTGGGAGCTGAGCTGATAACTTCAGATCCAGACGTCCGACGACTAAAATCCTTCATCTGGTTCAATTATAGAGCTGAAAATGACCAAGGTGTAAATACACAACTCACAAAAATGGGTCTAGTTGTTTTTAGACATTTTAATGTGGAAATATTATAACTTTATTAGATAATTTTCACAAATAACAGTATTTCTACACTGTGGTGTTAGAGCTTTTACTAATATGGATGGATATACGTTCATATTTAATAATACTTTGGATCAAGTAAAGGAAAAAGCTAAATTTATTCTATTTCCTGGATTCTTTGCCTCTGAAGAGTCTTTAGAACGTGAAGTAAAAGATTGTCTCAGATTTATGATTGTGTGTCTTTCCCCTCCTTTTTTTTTTATTTAATAATCTTGTTGTGATCAAAGCAGATCCTGTCGTCAGTATCCAGCATTTCGAAACGGTGTACAGGCCTGTCTTTTAGTATTTTAATCAGGCATTAAAAGTGCCTGGTGTCGCTCATCGAGCTCCACTGGCTGCCCGTGGCTGCCTGAATCAAATTCAAGTCACTATTTCTTGCCTTCAGAGAGACTTCATCTACTTGAACTCAATCCTTCAGCCTTATGCTCGTTCTCCTCTGAAGGAACGTCGACCGGCATCGCCATCCCTGCACACAGGACGATCTCAGTCCAGACTGTTCTGCTCTGTGGTTCCCTGATGGTGGAACAAGCTACTGAAGTCTCTCAGAGCAGGAACGTTCCTCTCTATCTTCAAGAAGACTCGTCTCTTCTGAGATCACTAACTACCTCTTCCTGTGCACTTCTTTACCTGATCTCCCTCCGCTTTGTCTGATGGAACAGATCTGGTGTCTCCTCCTTATTTATAAGTCGCTTTGGATAAAAGCATCTGCCAAATTAAACTAAACGTGATATTGACATATGTTGTTTTTGTGCCGCTGTCGCTTCGCTGCTGTTTGTCACCTCTGGAGCTCTGAACAGGAAGCAGAGGAGATGTGGTCGCTCTCTGACAGAGACATAGCTCCACTATCTCCAACAGGAAATTAATAGTTTCTCCATCGGATATGAACAGATGTCAGAGGTCTTTAGTATTCTCTGTGTGTGTGTGTGTGTGTGTGTGTGTGTGTCACTCTCTATAGTCCATTAGACGTGTAAGAACACTGTTGGTTGTGAGGACGTTTCTCTCGTTCCCACAGCAGCAGATATTCCATAAAGCGAAACTAGCTGTGTTTCTAATTTACTGAAGCACGGTGATCAGCTGTTATTGATGACTGATCTGTTTGATTTATACGTATAAGGAAGTAAATAAATGTTCTCAGATGATCTGGATGAAAATGTAAAAAAGAACATAAATAAAAAGCATTTTTGTACAATATTCAATTCATTGACATTTTGGGAAATGCTACAGCCAGCAGCTGGTTAGCTTAGCTTAGCTTAGCTTAGCATAAAGACTTGAGACAGGGGTTTCTTCTTGTAGTTCTGATTAAAATGTCTCAAAAATTATTGGCTGGTTGTTGCCGTTAATCTAGGAGTTATTATTGTACAGTGGCATCGTCAAGTCAAAATTTCTATTTGTCCAATACTTCGATTTTTTGTTGTTTTTTTTACCAAATACCTGCAGAACTATAATGACATTCCCATCAGCCTCTGAGCTGAGCTGACAGCATTTCAGTACATACATTCAGAAGCTTGTTATTGTTGTTGCTTGCTTGTTGTTGTTATTGTTAGCAACACCAGTTGATGAGAACGCATTAAGGAGTGTTTATATGCATTAATGCAGGGCGGCCATCTTGGATTCTGAGGTCAGGGTTGATAAGGTTCTTTCAACTTTCTGAGAAGAAAATCCGACTTCACAGGGCGTTCAAGTCAAAATTTTCGACTGGGAACCTGGAAATTCTGATTTCCCAGTTCAAACGGATCATTTTGGTTCATTAGTACAAGAAGAGCAGGAAGCATGGCTTTAGAGGCTAAAGTTTAGACTCTTGTTACGCTAATGCTAATCAGCTAATTGGCTAGGAACAGCTAGGAATGACGTCACACCCGAGTTGACCGCATTTAAGTTCAAAAAGTTGGAAGCTAGTTCTTGTTGTTGCTTGCTTGTTGTTATTGTTAAAGCAGTACATGGTATATAAACGCATAAAAACAGATAGAAGTTGGCCAGTACTGTGATTAATGAGATAAATGCAGGGCAGCCATCTTGGATTTTGAGGGCAGGGTTTCTGAGGTTCTTCTGACTTTCTCAACCGGAAATCCGACTTCCAGTTGATGTACATATTAGCGCATTAGCGCAGCCTCACAGAATTACACTGAGTTACGATACATTATGTAATATTTTTTTTTTTAGACTTTATTCACTGAGGAACAATGAGATGTGGTTGAAAGCTCTGGAAGAAGTTAGTAAAGGGGAAACTTAAGTCAAAGTTAAAGTCTTTCCGTCAAGAAACCTTTTGGACCCCGGACAGAAACTTCAGCAGCGAGTTCGCCTCAGTTTTCTGACGTCCAGATGTCGTCTCGTCACCTGCTGGAGCTGAACGACCCTTGAGCGCCACGGCCATCGTCTCCCCGTGTCGATTTCCCGCCCTGCCGACAACGTTTTGGAAACATCCTCTTGTACTTAAATGGCGCCCCATCGCCTCCTATATATGCCACATCTCGCCACGATCCTGCCATGATGACTTCATCAACCCCACCCCACCCACACCCACCCTCCGCCACCACGCAGGCGGTGTGAGGAAGAGGAGGGGTTCGAAGGTCAGATTAGAGGAGGCCTCTTCACCCCAGCTGCTGTATCGCCATCTCCGTCCTTCTGTCTGGACAATGACACACACACACACACACACACACACACACACACACACGTATATATATAATAATGCCAGGATGACCACAACACACACACACACACACACACACACACACACACACACACACACACACATCTTTTGACCTCTGAGCCTGTTTTCACACGCTCCCTGCATGAGAGAGAGAGAGAGAGAGAGAGAGAGAGAGGGAGAGAGAGAGAGAGGGAGAGAGAGAGAGAGGGGGAGAGGGAGATCTGGCCATTTTTTTCATATTTTCTGCTTTCACCTTATTTTTATTTCCCTCCTCTCTCCCCCTCTCTCTCCCCCTCCTCTCTCCTCTCTCTCTCCCCCTCTCTCTCCCCCTCTCTCCTCCCCTCGGCTCCTCCATCACAAATGGGGTGTAAAAAGCCACTTTCACCTCCTACTTTTCCTGCTTTACGTCCTCACCCCTTCTCCCGGCCCTCCCTTCTTCCTCCCCTCCATCGGGGGGGGGGGGGCAAAAATGGGACGCTCCCCCCCCCATCTCTCCCCACCCACCTCCACATCTGTGAGTGCCCCTCTGTCTCCTCATTCTTCTCCCTAACCGCTCCATTATTGGGCCTCTTTCACTTGTAAATGTGGCCAGCGATACTTCTGATGGGTCTTTTATGCACGCGGCCGGGGTCAGGAGAAAGGTAGGGGCAGGGGAGGAGGGGGAGTGGATACAATGAGGGGGTGGGTCAGGGTTGAGGGTGGCGGGAGGGGATGTTGGGGGGGGGGGTTAGTTTAAGGAGTCTTGTGCTGTTTTTTCTTGCAGGCCAGAGTGTGAGGGGACAATTGTGACAAAGAGTTAAATCCTTTTTTGTGTGTGCAGTCATTTGGGACGGTTGGGACGGGCCCAGCTCTCGCTTCGAATTCCTGCAGCTGGCCGTCCCCCTGGTAGGACGGCGAGGAGCGGGACGGGACGGGCCTGAGCTGCAGGGACGCCCCGGAGTGAAACCTCAACAGTCAGAGGGAGCTCACGCAGCCCGGGAGGAGGTGCTTTTCTAATTCATGTGTGCAGAGGCCCCTTAGCTTAGCTTAGCATAGCATAGCATAGCATACCAGAGCATATCACAATCCATAGCATGCAGCACCGAGGCGCTGATACAACAGGTGCTCCAGCAATAGGTTCATGGCTTTTTGTGTTTTATGATCATTTGAATCTACAGTCATGACACCGTTAAATACTTCAAGTCCCGACGTCTCAGCCACAGAAGTGAAAGTATTCATCATGCTCTCGGCTCCTGTCAGCACAGTGTGA